CAAGTACCATACTTCTCTATGGGGGGGGAGGGGGGTTGGGAATCAAGTTGGGAGCAGAAGGAAACTCTGGGTAGACACTGAGGTGCAGGAGTGGGTAAGGGGTCTGAAAGGGCGTATGGGTGAAGTAGGGGATTATGACCTGGGGCAGTGGATTGGGATGTAGGAATGAATTTTGACCTTGGAGAAGGATAGAGCAGCAAGTACAAGGTCTGGGAAAGAATTGTGACCTCAAGTGGGATGTGTCTGCAGAGAATTTGGGTGGTAACAGGGCAGGAGCAGGTAGTAACCTGAGGCAGGGAGTTGGGAAGTGGGAGGGGCTGGAATGTAGGAGGCAGGGGGTGGGGTACAGCAGGCAGAGTCTGGCTGAGAGTCATTTAGCTAGTTGGTTCCTAGACAGCAGCCCAACAGGCTCCCTCATGCAACAGCCCCAAGGTGCTGAAGGAGGTTCTCTGCATGTGCCACTCAGGGCTGCGAGTTCCTGTGGGGTGAGAAACTTCACATGCTCCCCCACCCCAAGGGCCAACATCCGGAGCTGGGCCAGGAAATGCATGAGTGCACCATCTCTCACCCACCACCAGTGTAGGGTAAATTGAGGCAGTCCGTGGTATCTTGGTGAGGAAGATAGATGGTGTGGGAGGAAGTACCAGCACACTAGTGACCCTTGCAGGCATTTATGGGCCTGCATCTGACGCAGTACTGGGCTGGGTGCCAAATGTGGCACCAATTGCAGAGTGGGGCTGGATGACCATTGCAGAGACAGCCAATGAAGCAGTGTGGAACCTCCCAGAACACTGTTTTCTGATCATCTCGGGGGTTCTTTTGCCATTCAGCAAGGTGCTCCTATCCAACACCACTGAGACAGACCGGGAACTGGGGCCCTGGACTTGGTGGTATGCCCGGGGCATCCAGAAAGCCAAGTGCATGCTAGTGGTTGCCACTGAGGTATCCAGGGCATCATCAGGGCCCAAGAGGCTGCTTCCTGCAAGAGCATCTTTAACAGTACCTACTTTTCCAGGATACATAGAAGTCTAGCTCCAAGTCCATGGTCACGTCCAACTGAGGACCAAAGGGCTGCTGTCCCAAACCTGCTGGCAAGCAGTGAAAAGAGGAGCAGTGCTAGGGAAAGTGATCTTGGGGTCATCAGCAAGGTAAGGGAAATAGCTGGTGCCGCATGGCAGATTTGCCTCTTGATGGTGCCAGCACCCTAGAGGCCCAAATTCAGCTGAACTTGCATGGGGACTGTTGTACAATCTGCTGATGAGGTTTCTGTCAAGTGTTGGGGGTACAAGGCATGTCCAAATCCCCACATGGCTCTCTCAGGATAGGGTATCAACATGCACTAGACGCAATGGCATAGGCTACTCTCGGGGCACTGCAGCATGTCCAGAAACGGAACGCAATCCATTAGCTTTGTCACCCCGGTGGTAGATGACCTGCCTCTCTCCAGTAACATCTACCTTTTATAAGACACTTTAAGACACTGGAGAATGAAAACAGTGCTGAGATGTTGCTGTGCCCATCTTCAATGGAGTCATGGTGGTGCCAGGAAGTGTTGGGCGCTGAATCCTTGGCAGTGCTGAGCACTGGTGAGACTAGTTTTAGTACTGGCACCAGAACATCACCTTAAGCTGGAGCAGCTAACTCCATAAGGACAAGCTTTAGACTGACATCCCTTTGTTGGTTAATGCCAGGGCGGAAAACCCTACAGAGCTTGCCCATGTCCATTTGGTGTGTTTCCTCCAAGCACTTACAGGAAGACTGCTGAGGGTCTCGTGTAGGCATAGGCTTCCGGGAAAAAGGACAGGTTTTAAAGCGAGGGGGCTGGGGAGGAGGTTGCTGGGAAACAGCACAGCGAGCAGCGAACCCTCCGCCGCTTTGCAGGGAGGTGGGGGAAGCCCCACGCCGCTGCCATCTACGAGGTGGCTGGGGAAATCGTATTATTCCGGGGACAGTCATGTAATTCAAAAAAGGTTCCCCCCCAAAAAAAATCATGCCATCATGAAAACGTGGTAAGCAGGAACGTGTTAAATGAGGAATTACTGTTTTCGGACTTGTACTTTCTAAATCCAAGTGTTAGTCTTAAGGCTTTTGAAAGCATACACCATGCCTTGTCCTTTACTAGCTTTAGAAATCTCAAATGGGTACATTGTTTGAGATTTGTCAAATCTGCAAAAGACATCCTTAAAATGAACAACAACATGTGCTGAGTGATCATCAGAGACTGCTAACACGTAAAATGTATGGCAGAATACATACAATGCAGAAGGAGACACAATTCTATCCAAAGTTTCCAATCATAAACAGAATTAAGGTTATTGGTTTTTTTTTTTTTTTAAATGATCATCATCACAGGACAATGTCCTCTAGAACGATTGTCTTGCAATTCCAGCCACAGAAGTCCCATGCTAATGCTTGTTCTCACTTTCAGGTAACATTGTAACAAGAATCTGGTAGAATTATCCCCTATAAATGTGAATAAGCTAGCTTGTCTTAGCGACTGGCTGAGTAAGTAGGACTGAATGGATGTATAGGTTCAAGTTTTACAGTTTTATTTTGCAGTGCAATTACATACAAAAAAATAAAATCTATATTTGCAAACTGCACCTTCATAATAGAACAGTACCGGAAAGACGTGAAGCAAAAATACTATTTTATCATTTATAGTGCAAATATTTGTAATAAAAATAATAAAATCAACACAGTACATTTTGTATTGTGTTGTAACTGAAATGTCTGAAATTTTTTTAAATCCACAAATATTAATAAAATTGGTATTCTATTGTTTAACAATGCATTTAATCACAATTTTTTAGTCAGGCACTAATTGATTAATCAACAGCACTACAAGCTACGGATGTAAAATCCCATTTAACTGGTTACCACTTAACTGATTCAACAGGCAGCAGGTGGGCTACAGCAGCCCATGTACACCCCTCCCATGTGTCAGGGATGGGCTGGAGCAGCTCTTCCATCACAGACAGGATGCTCCAGCTGGCCTGAATCAGCCTACTGGGAGCAGCGAACCCTCCGCCGCTTTGCAGGGAGGTGGGGGAAGCCCCACGCCGCTGCCATCTACGAGGTGGCTGGGGAAATCGTATTATTCCGGGGACAGTCATGTAATTCAAAAAAGGTTCCCCCCCAAAAAAAATCATGCCATCATGAAAACGTGGTAAGCAGGAACGTGTTAAATGAGGAATTACTGTTTTCGGACTTGTACTTTCTAAATCCAAGTGTTAGTCTTAAGGCTTTTGAAAGCATACACCATGCCTTGTCCTTTACTAGCTTTAGAAATCTCAAATGGGTACATTGTTTGAGATTTGTCAAATCTGCAAAAGACATCCTTAAAATGAACAACAACATGTGCTGAGTGATCATCAGAGACTGCTAACACGTAAAATGTATGGCAGAATACATACAATGCAGAAGGAGACACAATTCTATCCAAAGTTTCCAATCATAAACAGAATTAAGGTTATTGGTTTTTTTTTTTTTTAAATGATCATCATCACAGGACAATGTCCTCTAGAACGATTGTCTTGCAATTCCAGCCACAGAAGTCCCATGCTAATGCTTGTTCTCACTTTCAGGTAACATTGTAACAAGAATCTGGTAGAATTATCCCCTATAAATGTGAATAAGCTAGCTTGTCTTAGCGACTGGCTGAGTAAGTAGGACTGAATGGATGTATAGGTTCAAGTTTTACAGTTTTATTTTGCAGTGCAATTACATACAAAAAAATAAAATCTATATTTGCAAACTGCACCTTCATAATAGAACAGTACCGGAAAGACGTGAAGCAAAAATACTATTTTATCATTTATAGTGCAAATATTTGTAATAAAAATAATAAAATCAACACAGTACATTTTGTATTGTGTTGTAACTGAAATGTCTGAAATTTTTTTAAATCCACAAATATTAATAAAATTGGTATTCTATTGTTTAACAATGCATTTAATCACAATTTTTTAGTCAGGCACTAATTGATTAATCAACAGCACTACAAGCTACGGATGTAAAATCCCATTTAACTGGTTACCACTTAACTGATTCAACAGGCAGCAGGTGGGCTACAGCAGCCCATGTACACCCCTCCCATGTGTCAGGGATGGGCTGGAGCAGCTCTTCCATCACAGACAGGATGCTCCAGCTGGCCTGAGAATCAGCCCTCTGGCCACAGCGAGCCCCCACCCGTGGCATATGGGGAGTTGCTCCAGCCCCACCAGTTAACCAGAAAGCCTCCTGGTTCTGGTTAACCATTCACCAACTTACAAACTGAATAATGGAAAAAATTAGCTATTTTCAAACAGGTTTAACTTAATTTTACAAATTAAGTTATATACAAACACTAAAAGCTGGTAATCCTAATGATTTTACTACCAAAAGATGACTCCGACAGCTTAGGTCAGATAGAATTTGCCTTAAAGAGAGACCCCTGGGGAAACACAAATTGATGGCCTGCTCCAAAGTTTTAATTTTCTAAAAAAATCAATACACAAGGAGACTGTGCCTATAAGTAAATGGGATTCATTACATTTAAATTGTGTAATCCTTTTCCTGCCATGTAACCTTCCAAACACTTGTCTGTCTCCCTGGCAGGTATTATGTCTCACTCAAGTTTGAGGACAAGAATATTGTCACAACTACATGTTTTAAGGTGCCATGTACTTTTATGGTGTTACAAAAGAGTCTAAATATAAATCCTACTAAGTGCTCTAAATATGCATCTACTTACCAGCATGTTAATTTTACACTGGCTAGTTATACTACTGCAACAAGTTTAGTATTTTTTTCAAAAATGTTACCTAATTAGGTCATGCAAATGGAATCACTATTTCACAAGCAAATTCATTCTAAACAATGTTGACAAGTGTGCCCATCTGTTTTCCCTGGGTCAAGTCACACTAGCACTGACATGTAGTCAAAATTATACAAACTTTAAAGGAATTCAAGGTAAATGATATCTTAAAACTGAATAGAAACATTAGGTAAGATCTTACCTTTTCTTTACCTATGATGTCCATAAGCCTTCCTGGAGTAGCACATAATATATTACAGCCTTGCATTATCTGACGAATTGAATGACCTGTTTGCGTACCTCCATATATCACGACTGGCCTTATACAAGTGCTATTGAATTGGCAAGAAACTGTGATTACATATGCAGAAGTCAATTTATAGTTACACACCTTCATTTATAACACACATGCACCTAGGAATTACTGTAATGTTGTCATAGCTACAGCATTTACAACTTCGCATGAAATAAACTGCTCTAGTCAAGAACTTAAACTCTGGTTGACGAAACCAAGATTGTGTGCTCGTGGTCTCTGAGGATTTACTAGGACAAGTAATAGTAAATCATTGGGTAATTCTGCATTCTCTCATTTATTAATTAATCCTCCTTATCGTTACTATAGAGAGAAGTGTCACAGTTAATTTTTCTTGCACAACTTATTTTGCTCTGTTGGGCACATATATCATGACTGTCTTACATGGTTACGTAACACTTGCTCCCACATGACCTCTCAAAGTGATTAAAGCAGCTACCAAGAACACCAAGGGCTTGCACATGCTCTCACTTACATCAATAAGAAGTGCAAATGGATCTGCTGACAGATTTACTCCAGGTCTACACTAACAACTACAAGTAGAATTTGCTTTGACATATGTAGATTTCATTCATAGTGTCCCTAGTTTTATTCAACAGGCATCATCAACTCACAAGATGAACAACTTAGGCACTCTTCCCAGTTTTTGCCCAGGATTCTTAAGTAACTTTGCAGTTGCACCCAGTATGCAATCATTGTAAGTACAGTAACAAATGCACAGATTTAATGCTGTGCAAGCAATCTTAACTGAGACACTTCTTGAGTGTCTGACAAGTTGTTTGCTTTAAAAGGACACAAATTCTACCGTGTGAAAGTTTAAAACTACTACGGTTGACCAATCAGTTTTGTACAAGATGTATTTTCAATGAAGAAAAGGCAGCAAAGTGCTTTGTGTATCAAAAGAGTGATTTGTTTAAAAACATAGTACCTAAAATTGTATTTAATTGTTGCACATATATGCTTTATCAATAGAAGTTTGGAAGACTATGAAGTTACAGTGCTTGTATAAAATATATTTTTCTAGCTGGTCCGTCTGCTAAGGGGGACACACAGATTTTTTTATTAAATTAAAAAACAAAACGTACTCTTACTCAACTTAAGGGCTCAGTGCTGAATTTCTATCCTTCTCCTTTGAGGCAACAGAAACTGATGTTAAGAAAAGACTTGAAAAACTTGAAAAATAGAAACACTGAAGCATAGTTACTGTAATTGTTAAGATAGAATTGTTAAGAGAGAATGCCAAATAACCTTACCTTAAATTATGAAAGGAAAACAGTAAAATGAGGTAATTTAATCTAACGAACAAACTGGAATTCATTTCCTTAGAAGACGTTTTGTGCTTATACAAAAATTTATCAGAAATCACCTGAAACTATCCATTTTATCTTCTTGTCCATGTATTAAAGTTAAACTAGCCTACCCAAACACTCTTTTTGTGGCCTAAACTCCATTCTGATCTGAATATAAACCGAAATAGATGAGAGTAGGGATTTAAGGCAATGCCTCGTTTACGGTAATTAAATTAAGCCTCAATTTTGCAATTTTTTTTTTTTTTTAAGCTTACCCATATGCAAACTTTCTTGCTTCGAGAAAGATCTGGTTTATTAGTTCTCTAGTTGGGGCTACAATAATACATTCTGGTTCCTGCTGTTCTCTGAAGTGACTGGCAGTTATTCCATCTTTCATCATATGATCCAAAATTGGCAAAAGAAAGGCTGCCTGGAGAACAAACATGAATACTTTATTAACATCAGATTTAAAATCTTTGTTTCAGTAGTGTCAGAATTTTGTGCAGCAATTATGTTCAAGGAAATAACTTTTCTAACTTCATATAAAGTTATAAAAAACTAGCAAGTTCTATATAAATTCAGAGACAAGTAATTCATTAATCGTGTAGTCAACAAAAATTCTGTCAACTACACAACTGATAAGGGTTAGAACTGCAACCACTCAGTCCCAGCAACTACCCTTGTTGCGACTGCTCTAGAAGCACTTTAAGAGCTGGTTCATGGGCAGGCTGGCTCAGTCCCGGCATCAATCCCCACTGTGGTCCTGCCCGTGTACCAGCTCGTGTCCCATGCAGAGCGGCAGCAGGAGTTAGTGCTGGGACCCAGCCTGCAAAAAATGTACTTGCATAGCTGCGGAGGGTGGGGGTTGATATGATTAACCAGTAAGTGGATGCTTATCAGTTTACTACTTAAACACCTACACTATTTACATCCCTAGCTTACATTTCAAATCACTTACCCCTACGTATATTTTGTTAATAAATTTATTTCCTTTTTCCTATATACCAACTCAGTGATAGGTTTAAAAGAATGAGTATGTCAGGGCTGTTCCCCACTCTCGCACTGCATGCAGAAGGTGGGGGCCCAAAAAGACCTTAAATACCTTTGTCATTAAAGGCTCTGCTTACAAAAAAACCTACCCAGAGTCACAGATTTACTGACTTTAGGGAGCAGCTGCCACCACCACCAACTGGATCAAAAGAAAAAAAAAAAAAACCCTTTCTTCTTGAACCCAGGAAGAAGCACTTTGACTTCCTCCAGAGGGGTAACCCCAAACTCCTTTACCGCAAGACAGAGATTGAAAAACAAAGAAAATAAACTCAAGTCTGTGGTATCTGACAGTTGTCTTAGGCAGGCAAGCACACACACACACAAAGCCACTGTTCCTTTCCAGAACACAAGAATAAACTCATCACCTTAAAAAAAAAAAAAAAAAAAAAGGTGATTTTTATTAATAAAACCAAAGATATACTTGATAAGGCATACCTGATTGTGAGGTGTTACAGAGCACCCAAAAGTAAAACAAATTAAAAACACAGAAAAACTCTGGGAACAACTCTTAGATGATGAATGGGGGAGGGGAGGAATGGATTAATACGGAGCAGTTCAAATCAAACCATAAAAATAAAGAAAAATGCCCTAATTGAGACGAAACACAAGTTTTCCTTTATTTACTCACGATCCCTTCGTGGTTCAGTCCATGTCCATGCCCTGAATTGCTTGAAGGCATGGTAATCCAGCCTGGGTATAAATCATTCTTTGTGTCTCAACTGCTGGTTTAATATCCCCACAAAGAAAGCAGGCAAGGTATCTTTCATAGAGTTCAAATTTCAGCACTGTATCCCTATTGGTTCTTCTGGTCTCCTGCCAACACCCTTGCTAGCTACCCGAGTTTAACTCCTTAGTCACTGGGTGGGGCCAGCACTCCTATCTCATCACAAGGTATATTTACCCTTAGTTAAGTTAATAAGCAGTGAGGTGGTTTTTTTTAATCTTTAAAAGAACAAATATTTCTCATACTCTTCAGGACATAGATTTGGGGAAATTCAGGACTGGGAGTGTGTTAGGATCATCTTGCTGGTTTTAACCGAGGCTAATGGAAGTTATGGTAGGATTGTGGGGCTATACACAAGGCGGCTGGGGTCCAAGCTTCTGAACTTGGGATGTAAAATCTCATTCAAGTGGCTAACCAGTTCAACATATTGTTTAACTCATTAACCCATTAAACAGGAGACAAGCAGCTCCCCCTCCCCCCACTCACTACACAGGAATAGCCCCCACTACCACAGGCAGAGGCTGCACCTGCTGGGATGCTAGATCATCTCTGCATGTGGAGGGCTACAGCATCCCAGTCTGAGAAGTCCTTGCATGCAGGGGGTCCGGGCCCAATGCAGACAGAGGGTTGATCCAGCCTAGCCAGAGCAGCACCTGTCCATGGCTGGCCCCCTGTGGGGCTGGAGCAGCCCCTGCTCACAGGAGGCAGGGAGCTGCTCCAGCCCCCCCAGTTAACCTTAATCGGTATACCTCAAACATTAAGGGTGATGCTTACTGTTAACCAGTTAAACCTTCACATCCATATTCTGAACCAGGATTGTCTAACTACAGACACCCAGGGTGTAACCTGGTAGACCGACTGTGAGTGGACCAGGTTGGCAGCTATAGCACCAAAACACTGAGACATCTGGGGTTACAGGGCAGGCAATTGTAAGGCCTGGATTTGCACCCCTGGACTGATGTCCATGACAGGAATATCATCTCATATAAAATAAGATACTTGAGATAGTTCAGTATTATATTTGTGATTTTGTTGCTAAAATACTGTTACTTTATTTTGCAATTAAGCAGAAAAAAGTATACCCAAAATAGTGTTCTCAGATTTTCAGAGTATTTCTATTAGGGCTTTGCAATAAATTGTCAAACCAACTTTCAACCTTTTTTCCCCTAAAATTATGATTTGCGCAGAAAGTAGGAATTTCTCAGTGTTACAAATAAGCTAATACACTGCATAAAAACTGAGCACTGAATTTCAGAGTTTGCAAGCTCTTAGCATAAAGCCTATAAGGTTTACATTTTGGAAACAAGGCAGTATTAAATTTTAAGAAAAACCAGGCCTACTAAGTGTTTACTTGAAAACACTTACTACCTATTCAATTGATTAAAAACCAAAGAGCTACTGCTATGTCAAGACAATTTACTGAAATATGCTTTCCTAAAAACAGAGTTCCATTTAACAGAAATCTGTAGACTTGGTATCTAACTCCCATTTGTACCAAAAGTAACAAAGTTGTACCACGTGTAACTAAAATTAACATACAGCTCAGAATTTACCAGAATTAGTGTTAGAACCCTTAAACCAAAGAAATACTATTTGTTACTTAGAACAGTATTTCTCAACCAGTGGTATGAGTACCCTTAAGGGGACTCAAGAGAAGTCTGGGGGATACAGCAACAACTGAAATTTGGAGAAAACTGAATTTTTCATTTTAACTTTATTATTTTTGTACTTTTTATACCCAAAAACTTCATTGCCCACCCAGCTATGATTAAGTTGTTTAAACAAACAGTAGAAAAAAAGGGTGTGTGCATGAAAACTGTAGGTACTGGGGGTACTTACTTTTTTAAAAAAAAAAGGGGGTACTTTATAAAAAAAAAAAAGATGGAGAAACACTGACTTAGAAATTCCTGATGAGCCTCTCTGCAACTCTCTCATGTCACAAAAATAATGTTTTGTGTGTGTACATCGTTTGAAGACGACTTACTGTTTTTCCAGATCCTGTCTGGGCACATGCCATTAAATCTCTCCCTGCGAGAATAATGGGAATACTATACTTCTGCACCGGCGTCAGTTTTGAATATCCAGCTTTAGCAATATTCTTGATTAACGTTTGACAAAGATTAGCTTCTTCAAAAGTCTAGAAAAAAAGAGAAAGTCTTTAACAGTATATGATTATATTAAAATTATTCAAAATCACAAGCTGGTAATTACAGGTAGTAAGTAAACTGCATGCTTGAAATATCAGAACTACCCCACTGCCCCATAGGAGTCAGAGTTCTCAATGTCCATGGGTACTTGACAATGTTCCCCCGCAATATCCTCAAACTGCTCCTCCACTGAGTCTCAGAGGGATAGCCATATTAGTTTATAACACATGGGTTGTGCCCACAAAAAAATTATACCATCTACATTTTTTGTAACGTTTCTAAGGAGAACCATTCATTGTTTAAGTTTCCTCCATATGAGTGTCATTCAGAAAAGTTTAAATGTTTGCCAGAGTAATACGGAGCGTTCCAATGGCTGAACAGTTACAGATTTCAAGACAAGATTCAAATGCCATTTTGGTATCTTAATAGGTGGAAACTCTGCTACTGTATCTGGTTTAAAGAAACTGCAGACAGAGCTGAAAGCCATTTCTTCAGATTGTGGACGTGTACTGAATGACGATTTCCCATGCTGCAAGTCTCACTTCCCCAAGTCCAAGTGAATTTCTTCTTAATCTGCCTTTTCCATCTAATCAACTTATCCCCAAAGTGCCTCAGACTGGCTTAAGTAGTGGAGTACAGGCAGTCCCCGGGTTACATGGATCCGACTTACATCGGATCCCTACTTACAAACAGGGTGAGGCAACCCCGCACTAGCTGCTTCCCCCCAGCAGACCAGGGCCCCCCAGCAGACTAGGGAGACGCGGAGCGGATTTTCTTAGCAGACACCTCAGCTTGAGAATAACGGACTGAGGGAAGTGAGGTGTGGGAGAATAAAACTGAGCTCTGGAGAAATGTTTGGCTAGAGTTTCCCCTACAATATGTACCAGTTCCGACTTACATACAAATTCAACTTAAGAACAAACCTACAGTCCCTATCTTGTACTTAACCCGGGGACTGCCTGTATTAAAATAGTTTCTAGATACAACATGGAAATAGAGAAGTCAACATACAGGATTAGTCCAGAGGGTCCATCAGTTTCCCCATCAACAGTACCTAGCAAAAATATTTTGGAAGAGGTACAAGAAACTCTGAAACACACTGTTATGGGGCTCAGTGGTTCTCAAAGTGTAATCTGCAGGTCATGGGCTTGGGACTCAGTGTTCCACTCCCCAAGGAGCCCACACTGACACTTCAGCCCTACAACCCCCTTCCATATAGTTAGAGCACTAGCACCAACTTCCCGCTACAGGGGGGGAAGGCAGGAGTCCTGAGCCTTGCAGGCCAGAACCAGCTCGCACGAAGAGAAAGGGCTCTACATGCTGGCCTGGAGACTTTCCCTGCTGCTCACACTGGCCAGAATCGCAGCTAATGGGAGCAGCAGGGGGCAGTGCCTGTGAGCAGCAAGGCTTGTGGAGCCAGGTAATAAGCCCCACTACCATGCCGGAACTCTGTACCCCAATTGCTCTCACATTACACACCTTCCCAATGAGACCACATCCACCCACATCCACCCACACCCTATTCCTGCACCCTCCATCCTTCCCAGCAACTAGCATCCCCAACTGCACTCCACCTCTTGCCCAAACTAGGGATGTTAAGAAGCGAGAGATTAGCGGGGGAACTTCTGGTACTATAGCCTCATCAAAAGATGCAGATGGATTATCCTCAAATGTCTGCTGGGCTTGTGTGACACTATCGTCATCAGGAATTTGACCCTCTTCCACCTGTTCCGAGTTTGCTGAGGCCAGAAGGCTATGGGATGGAGAGGCTGGTGGAAGGCTCTTCAATGATGCAGATGTGTTCCTGGAGTGGTGTCTGCAAGGCCCCCAATAATCCCATGGTGTCCACCAGGGAGGATAACGTGGAGGGGAATATTGCCAGTCCAGGTACCAATGGGAATAGCGAGGTCTTTCAGGGTAGTGTTGAAACTGAGGAGATGTAGCTAGAGGCGAATGTTGCGAGGAAACACACTCCTCTGTTCATATTCAGCAACTGCAGCGTTTTCTTGTGTCAACGGAGGTCTAGCGCAATGGGAGATGGACTCCGAGAGCAAGCAGATGCCAGGGGAGATTTTGGCTGAGTGCTACAGGCTTCAGCTGTAAACGTGCAATTGTCCTGTTTGCACCTAGTTAGCCTACTGCACCTGTGCTGCACCCTCCAGTGGGTGGGAGGTGAAGAGGGGTGCTTCCTTTGTAGGTGTTGGCTCGGCAGAAGGCTGTGGCGAGGACTTATGGGGCCATTTGGCAGGTGGCTTCGCACTCCTTCACTGCACCGAGTGTTGTGGCGGTGCTATAGTCTGTCAGCACAGTCCCTCTCGTGTTGCTTATGAGAACATCTAACCTGACAGTGTGCAGAGTGCAGCTGTGGTGGTGCCTGATAAGGTCTCACCATCAGCTTTGCTGATGCACTCAATGTGTCCCTAGTGGTCAATCTGGGGGACAGCTTGACCGGAAATGATCTTGCTGGAGAGACTTATCCTGTGGTGTTTGTGGGGCAAGGGAGACACAGATCTAGGTTTCAGATCTCCCAGAGTCGAAACGGGTTGGGGCTCTTCGGAAGGCTGCAGCGCCCATTCAAATAATATCATATGGAGCTGCATTTCACTGTCCTTCCTAGCCCTGGCTGAGAGACTCCTGTAGTGGTCAAATTTTTTGGGGGGGGCATGTGTGTCCCCCAAACATCTTATACAAGAATCGTGCCCATCCGAGGCTGGCATGGGCTCATTACATTGGAAGCACTTCTTAAAGCCCTAAGAGCTGGGCATGGTAGAGTACTGCTGAAGCTCAGGCTGCATTATTTCTTTTCC